TTTAATTAATAATAAATAAATAAATCTAAAAAGAACGGTTGTTTATTATAATTACTATTATCACAAAAAAAATAACTTCTATGTGATTCTTAAATATATTTTGTCAATATTCTAGCCCGGGTAGAATTTAAATCCTAGCTCCGCCCCTGGCTGAATGGTTGACGTCTTTTTTTATCCTTTGTCTTTCGTTTTATTCTTTTCAAACTTTGGAGAAGTGTTTGTATACTTGTGGAGGAATCCACTGTAAGTTTTAAAGTCCACATGTCAGTCATAAAAGTAACTAGGGTAGTAGAGTGTAGGAACATTAATATTAGAAAGAAGTTCTAGTCTCATAAATTTGTACTACACTAGGTGCGCACGACCTTTTCTAGTGAAAGATCATATTTTCCTAATTTAATCTCATCAACTAATTTCTTCAAAATCAAAGCCTTTCATTTAGACCAACAAGGGTTGACTCAAGTGGTAAGCAGTTTGATGTCGCTTAAGCAAGGTCTCGAGTTCGAGTCTTTGTGGATGCAGAAAATCCTTGTTGAGAGACTCACCCACCACTGCCAGGTGTGCGACCCGAGTCGACCAACGGATTAGTCGGAACATAGCTTCGGATACCGTGGCTGGGCTACCAAAAAAAAAGCCTTTCATTTAGAAGAAGAAGAAGAATACAACAACTAAATAGAATAGATTATTTTTCTTCTGTTCTTTCCCAATGTGCATCAACATTAATCCCACCTACATCAGGCTGCAAGAAGTGGCTAACATTATAACCAAACTCAAGACAACAAAATTTTCAGACATTGTTCAGTCAGGAAAGCATAAAGAATTTCTATACCACTGATTTTCCCACTCCCCAATTGCTCAAATCCTTCTCCATCTCTCATTCTCATTGCTTCTTGTTAGCCTCTATAGGTATATACCAAACAATTTTCTGCCGAAACACACGAATTTCAAGATCTTTTTTTTTTTTTTTTTCAATTTCTCGAAGCTTTCGCACTCCTCCCGTTTTTCTTGCTCACGGCTTCACAAACCCTGCAAGCCAACGTGTCCAGGCTGGCGGCCCTCGCCTCCCGATAACTACCCAAAACCCCACACCTCCTCCACGCGTGATACTCAGCATAAGCCACAGGATCGTTCGCCAGTGACTTAACATAAGACGCTAGCTCATCCAACGACCCAAACTTAGTCCCGTCTATGATCGAGTGAGGCGGCACAAAATCCAGCACGTTGGGGGCCCCAAAATATATTGGTACTGCCCCCGAGTCGAGCCCGTAGAAGAGCTTCTCGGTCACGTAGCTCTCAGTCATGGTGTTTTCTATGGCGAGCACGAATTTGTAGTGTGACATGGCGCAGTGCAGGTGGTCCCACCATTTGGGTGCCTCGTTCGGGTCCTTTTTGCACTCCGGGTAGAGGGAAATGGCTCGGTCGAGCCCCCCCACGTTGTTCAGACACTTGCCGAACGAGTGGGTCGGGAGTAGGCCGAGCAGCTTCTTGGCTAGCTTGTTTCTTTCGGGCAGACAACGTGATGAGGACCAATAAAGGAGAGTTTCCTGAAAAAAATAAAAAAGAAAATATTAATAAAATTTGATAATGTTAGTTTCAATTTTCAATATTGTTGTATGAGTAACCAAATAATTTTCTTAAAAACATCGAATGATTGTGTTTTGTTCAAAAAATGAGTTTTACATCGTTTTTCATGGGAGATAACTGGTAATTGCGATTGTTGTGAAAGAGGGCTCCGGCATAAGTAGACTGAACATCGTCTTCTGCATGATAGCTGATAAAAATGTCCTCAAAGCCTGACCTCTTTCTACCAGCTTCAAGATCCATATATATGCGAAGCGGGTCACCCACCCGTCTCTGTTAAATGTAAAGTAAAAACAAAAAACAGTCAGTATCGAAAAGGTTGAATTAGACCTCACTGACTGTGGTTGCCAAAACTATTTGACCCGAAACGAAAATACGAGTAAAACTAAAATCAAGTAAACAGGTATGCTAGAGCAGAAATCTTGTTCTATATAGGTATTACAATGAAAAAAACTAAAAAATGGGCAAAAATGTTGAACCCCTTGAGTCCGAATTTGCCTTGAAACTCATTTCTTCATTATCTCGTTACCAGTGATATAGTTAATCTGAAAACCATATTTACCGGCCTACTGTAAAACTCTATTGCCGTATGGTGCTAGTTATGACATAAGGTTGACAAAAACTTAGAGAAACCTAACCATTCTCCACTCAAAACAAAACAACTGTAGTTTAATTTCACTTATTACAGGGCCCCTCAGATGTAAACACATAAAATTCAAGCCCATGAGGCACCAAAAAACCATTTATATGATATAGATATGGGGTTTAGCAATACATAGTCAATTGGTTTATTACGATAAAGATATGGGGTTTAGCAATACAAAGTCAAATTGGATTAATACGATCCTGCTGAAAACCGATCAATAGCTTCTGGTCCATTGATGCATTTGTATGAAAAGCTGAATAACAGTTCCTATTCGGCACTCAAAATTATAACCTTTCAACACACACCATTTTATTTTATCAACTGATCAAATAAATATGACTCAGTTTTATTGCTATAAGGCTACAAAAATGCATACTAAGAGTCAATATGCATATATATATGGTATAAATTTGTTAATGTATATAAGTGCTATAGATTCAGGTACCAATAAGTTGATTACTGTAATCCCTTAGATTAGGCTCATTGACTTATTTTCCTTCTTTTAGTTTGCTCCTAGACTAGTATACATATTCATCTTTGTACATTTTACTCTTGAGAATGAATATAAGAATCAGCCGATTCCTCGTTACAATAGGGACAACCGGAATTCGCTACACAAAGTTCCACCGATTAACAAGAAAAGGGCATTGTTCTATGCATAATTCATAAAAGGGCAAACCACACAGCAAAAAAATTGCAGAAAAAAGAACCCATCTCACAAAGGATAGAAACTAAGCTGGCAAAATATGCAAAGAAGTTATAATCATCACCTGAAAATTGAATAAAAAAAACCCCAGAACTCAAATCTCACAAAGGATAGAAACTAAGCTGGAAAAATATGCGAAAAATTTATAATCACCTGAATAATTGCAGGAAAAAAAAAAAAATTCCCAGAATTCAAATCTCACAAAGGACACATATTAAGCTGGAAAAATATGCAAAAAATAAAAATAAAAAAATCATAATCACCTGAAAAGGAGGAGAGATAGTTTCAAACAACAGGGCATCAGGCTTATCAGCAAGAACATGAGATTTAGTCCACAAGCAGCTCAGCCCACATCTACAGCTATACAGATTATCCATATTATCCGGAATCCAAGTCCACCCTTTGACCAAAACACTCACATGGTTCATCCGCAGCTCGCCGCACGCGATCTCGCCGCCGGCATTCTGTAAAGACGCGATCTTTGACCTGTTCGCCGGCGAATCCGCGTGTTTCTGCCTGAATTTGGGACAGCCCACCTGCGAATCCCACTTCCTGAAAGCTTCGAACAGGTACTTGAAGGGTTCTGGGGAGGAATTCGACCGAGTCGAGGTAATCGATTCTTTGGACGATGATGACGGGAATGAGAATTTGGCGGACGGGAATTCAAGAAAGCCGGTGAGGAAGACGATGATGAGGGTAAAGCCGAACATGAACGTTAACGTTAGGGTGTTGATGGGTTTCAATTGCATAATGGAAAAACCTGAAGAAGCAAACCGTACAAATTTGCCTTGGTCTGCTCTCACTCTCACTCGGCATTAATTGTAAGGAAATGCGACTGTGGAATTGTGAATCGATGTTG